TCCGTGTAGGAGGAAACACCCTGGGCTCGGCAGGCCATTCCTCTTCTCCCTTCCTTGTTCACTGATCAAATATAGACAGTGTATTTTAAAACAGTCCAAACCCCAAGAAAAAAAAAAAAAAAAAGAAGAAAAGGAAAGTCTGGGGGGAGAATTGGTGCAAGGGAGCAAACAGTTTAACTCCTGGCTAATCCAGCGCAAGGTGAAAAGACCTAATGAAGGAAAATGACTGCTCGGTGGTTCTCGGTTGAAAACGTTATGCTCCAAATGCTGACAAACCTTACAGGCGGAGTCCGTAAATAGCAGCAACCTGTGTGGTAACCACGGTGTCACCACCCTTCATCTCCCCAGACAGGTGGGATGCCCTGCTCAGAGCAGCACTGGGAAAAGTTTACCTCCTGCCTTTCCCTCTGACCTTGGAAAGGCCGCCTACCCTCAGCCAGCAGAGCTCTGAGGTGGGGATTCTTAATTGTACTCAGGAGCACTCCAGTTTCCTATGAATGCAGAGGGAGCTGGACACCAAACCACCTTGCTGCTTACAGAAAGCTGAGTCCGAGGTACGCAAATGGCCTTGTTAAGAGTCAAACAGATCCCTCTCAGGTTTAAAATTGGGCAGCTGCCCAAGAAGCTACTTTTTCTGAGTTCATTTTTTTTTTTTTTTTGGAGTCCTTTGTTATTGGGAGCTTTGCTACAGGCTGCTGTTAATGCACAAAATGCCTTCATGGCAGACAAGGTGGGGTCACGCAAAGGCTCGAGCCACCCTGGCAACTACCCACCACCACCACCACCACCACCACCCCTTCCACCCAGAGCAGTCATCTGCTGGATGCCCTCAGTCAACTGATGCCGTTTAACATATTTGTGCAAAAAACAACAGCGAAAGATACAGCTATTTTTGTGGAGGGTCAGTGTGGTGGATCAGCAGAGAGTGCAATGAGTGCAGAGGGAAGAGGGTGATGACCTCTCTGTTGGGCACATGGGCACACTTTTATAAGACCATGGGCACACTTTTATAAGACCAGCTCACTCACCTCACCAAACGTTGCCCGTAGACTTTTGACACCTTTGAACGGTTTCTTTCTTCTATTCACTCATGTCAAGCATGACCCAAAGGGCCTCTTGGTGGTTAGGTGGCTCCTGGCTGGTGCCTCCATGTACCTGGTGATGCAAACAAGACTCACTCAGAGAAGGAACAGCTGACTGCAGAGCTAAGGAAGGGCTCAAAATGGGTGTGGGTGTTTTGAAACCTCATCAATCCAGGGCATTTTATGACAGCGTAATTAGCACTAGAGGCTGAGAGGAGTGGCAAAATCCATTTATCCCCAACAGAGGCAGAAAAAACCTGCAATTCTCACCTGAATTATGGTTTTCAAAACCCTATCTAAGGAGACAGATGTTATGCCAGACCTCACTATTATAGATCGCGTTTTTCTTGAAAATAACAAATAGCTAATTAGTTATGGGCACCTCCTACAAAGCAGACAATTTGTTGCGGGGAGATGATTTGATCATAAACAATTTCTTTGTTCTGAGGTTTGCCCTTCTCCCCTCCGAGCGCACTTCCCAATACACGCTGAGTGCAACTCACACCCAGAAAACACCAAAACCCTTTGATCCTTCTCGGGAGTGTAATACTGAGACGTGCTCCATAAAAGCCTGCTGTGTATGGGAAAGAGCACTAAAAGCACTACAATCCACACCTGTATATCAGGGACAACCACCAAAGCTCGTTTGCACTCTGGATACACTCATCCTCCCCCCCCCCAGGGTTTCTCCATTCCTCCTCCCTGGCCCTGAACGCAGATTAGGAATCAGGTTTGGGTTGGGTTCAGGAGGAGCAGTTGGAATAGTGAGGGTAAAAATGGCACACGCAGAGCCCAGGGGCTGCCAGGGAAGGGCAGGAACAAGCAACAGAGAGGCGCAAAGTGAGGACCATGAGGGTGTAAGTGGGATGGAGCAGGACTGAAGCAAGGTTTTAGTTAGAGGAACGAAAACCCTGGACTTCTTCAGCATGGAGAAGAGAAAGCTGAGAGGGATATGAGCAAAGGTGGCAAGATCCTAAGATGGGGATGAACAAAGCAGGTCCCAAAAGGGATCTACAAAATTCACAAACAGCCATAGGGGAATAATGTAGGGTGAGAGAACCATACGGGAAAGTGATCTTGCAGTGATACCACCTTAAATGTGCCAGAGCTACTGAAGCATCCCCATCCTCTTCCCCCACAACACACACATGCACAACTTCATGGCTACCAGCAGTTAATGACAGATTTGTTAATTAACAGCATGAGGCAAAGCCAAGGTTGATGTTCTAATAAACAGGTCATTAACTTTGGTAATGACCAATTTGGGAAGATGATTGCTCTTACAAACTGTATTCCATGGCTTATAAAAAGCAACAGTGCAGCTCTGAAATACAGCTGGCAGCCAAGGCTTCAGCAGAGCAGTTGGTCTGAAACACTGGCCGGTCCCTGGGAAGTTACCATCCCCATTTTTCACCAGACACAATGTGTAACCTGGAATCAGAATAGATGTATTTCAAGCTACAGCAATTAAAATTCATACAGATGTAAAAATGAAATTGAAATCAAACAGCTTCAAGACGAGCGACCGTCTTCACCCAGGGCTGTTCAGAAAAGGCACGTGGCTTTCGTGAGCAACTTTCCCTGACACCTGCCTGCTTCTGCATTTAAATCAGCCTTTTCTCTGTATTTTTTTATGAGACCAAAGGATATACCTGCTCAAGAGACTGGGCTGCTCCAAGGAGAAAAGTCTTTATCAGTAGCGTGTCATTGACGTGGACTTGCTCCTTCCCTGCAGAGGCAGGCAGGGCAGTAAAATGTGCAAGGACTTGGGTAAATAGTCAAACCACCTGAAACAGGTAAAAAAGGCTTTGAAACAATAACACAATTTCCCATGGCACAGGAGAAGGGAAAAGCACCTGCGGTTTCAGTCTACTGCAAAGCAAGCCCCAGAAGAGACCTGCTCACAATGACTCGCTGCCAGTGACCTACAAAAATCTTTGGGATTGGGAACAGAAGGCTGAGAACATGCTGCGAGAAACTCCCCCATTTGCAGGACCTGTGCCATTTTCTGATGTAACTGGAATGAGAACCAGAAGCGAAGGGGTCTAACAGTAACGTATGTCGCAAGCCAGAGAATCCATTAGGAACACTTTGGGGTCTTTCGGGGGATAATTAAACATCCTAAAGAACAGTCACTTAATATCACAGCACTTAGTAGTTACTAGAGAGTTAGTAACCAGATACCAGAGGGAAGAAATCGCTCTTTCTATGGTTTATTATCAACTGGTTAGAAAAAAAATAAGGTTTCCTAAATGAGAAAGGTAGGGGAATGGGAACAGTAGCCTGGATTGGACCCTTGCAGAGAGGAGTTGCACAGACATGAACAGTATTAGGGGAGCAGAGGTCATGGAAGACACACACAGTGAAGCCAAAGAACTTGAAAATGTTTTGGGGAGTTAGTCCTGATAGTGGCTTAAAGTAGCCTGTGGATAAAGGGTTTGGATTTGTGGCATGGAGATAAGAGGCATATACACACGCACCTCTCAAGTTCTGCGACTGGTAGTGCTGTCTACAATAATGCTGTTAAAACGTGGTGTTTTGAAAGGCTAGCGGACAGCAAAGTTTTCCAAAAGTGATAAAACTGAGCAAAAGGCAAATCTGCCTCTGATATACCAAAATGGCATTTGCTTGTGGTGTGTGTTATGGACTAAAAGTTAAGCCACTGTGCTTTTCCTGGGGAGATATATATCATTTACTTTTCTTTCTCATACTCCCCTCTTGCATTTCAGCCCTGCTATGCAGTGTCTTCAAGGTGAAAGCTATTTTGGAAGAGGTTATATAAGTAAAACTTAGCAGGATCAGAACACCCACCATCAGGCAGGGATCTCTCAGGCTCCACGACGGACAGCTATGTAATCATGCACAAGCCCGGGAGCTGTGCCAGACGTCCTCCAGCAATTGCATCCTTGCACAGCCATTTGAGTGCACAAGGGCTGCTCCCTGCTAAGTACTCTCACGGGCTCTTTCTGCCTGAAAAGGAATGAAAAGACTTGGGTAACTGCTGATTCCGTCTCCTCGCAGGGAGCTCGGTATCATGAAACACTACGTAGGTAGCTATGTGGATTTGGACCGAGGGACCAACAGCATCCAAAAAGCTTGTGAGGATCTCATTGCTTTTATACATGAAGAATCAGGCCTGATGATGCTGCATCGTTTTAACACAACAGCTTGAAAATACTGACTTTCAGGGAAATCCAATTGTTTTTGCATCAAAATGTTCTTACTAACAACTTCTTAAAATACATATAATGGGCTGAAGAGACCTGCAACACTCTAGAAATCCTGAGATTACTTAAGAACACCTTCCTTATTCTGATGAAAATCTGTTCTCTTTTGGTAAACATAACATCACTTTAGAAGTAAAAAATATTGACAAAGTGACACGCACGGACACAATGACAATGGCATTTTTTGTAAACAGAGCCCTTCCTAAATTTGCAACACAAAAAAACACGGGAGCAGACATAGACAAAGACTAAGTGGACAGAGACTGACTGTATCCATCCATCGATACGGCAATGAAAACTCATTTTGGGTGCAGATGGGAATTTACCAACACAAGACAAACGATCACGTAAGACAGAGGAGAATGCTACTGAAAATAAAAGTGAGAGATGACAAAGCACCTGCTATTGCCTGATGTAGCAATCAGAGCCGACACGTTCCAATTGTCCATCCTAAAAAATGGGCTTTATCACCGAAGAAGGTCTCAATTCATTATTTCTTCATTGATGTTATGTCAAATATGCGGGTCACATCATCAGCCTGCTATCTAAGAGTGAGGAAAAGCTAGAGAACACGGTTAAGGACACAGAATGAATACAATTTACAGGGGTGATGGAATTATTTTTAAAAGCCACAGCCAAGAAGAAATAAAATTTGGCAGGAAGAGAAACAGAGTGAGCACACGCTCCCTCATTTTACTGTTAAGTTCCTGACTGTATAAATTGGCCTAATATTTCAAAGTGACTGGCACGTTTAGGTCTTTTCATCTTTGTGGACTGAACTTGAGGGACTTATAAACAGGCCAAGCACTTTGTAAAATGCTCCAAGTTGAGGCTGAGGTAGCCGAAGCTGGCCATTTCTGGAATAAAAATAAGAGATGCAGTGTTTTTAACAGAGAGGTGGCTCTCCTTCGGAGCACACCTGCAGATGGTGATAGCGGCTTCACCCTCTTTTAGAGTGGATGGTGGCTTTTTTTGATGCACAGACCTTTCCGTTCTTTTGGCCGTTGATTTTGCTCCACAGGAATCCTTTCTTATCACCGAGTGAAAGACATAAATGAAGAAATTTAGCTTTATCAAGACTAGAACAGGACCAGAATTTACTTACCCTATAAGTGACAATGCTCAATGAAACAAGATGCATAATCCAGTATCTCGTACACCCCACAAAGCTCTCAGCAGTGGCTTCTCTCTTTTCATATGGAAATTTGTATCGATTTCGCTGGGAAGAGATCTAAACCAACGCCTGCCCCTGCTCTCATGACTCTCACAATATTTGTTGTCTTCCTTAAAACACCAGCTCCTGGACTCACCTGATCACACAAGAATCCCAAATGCAATCAGCCCTCTGGGCTATGCAGAAAAGCTTGAAAATCAGCGCACTCAAAGGGAACAAAAGTCAGCAGAAAAAGAAACCACCTGATTTGGGGGGGGAGATGTACTTTTTAACCCTCAGATATACCCTGCCCTTGCTTCCACCCCCTGTCCGGGTGACAAGAAGAACTGTGGGGCAGTCTGCCCAGCAAGGGGACAGAGATGTGTGCAGGGGGCATTGCCATCCAGCAGCGAGAGGCCATGGCTTTGCTTTCTGCAGAAAGGGCTCATCCTGCAGAACAGAGGAACCTGCAGCCAAACAAACCACTTGGTCCAAAGACAGCGGCGGGGGGAGGAGAAGGTGCATTTACAGGCATTGATTTGGAAGGGGAACAAAAATCTGTTTTCCACCCCATATTTAAGAAAGATACGTTTTGCTCAGCAATTAAGCTGGGGACGGGATCCGTGCTATTCGCTCAGAGCCGTTCTTACCAAAGATAACGGGGAAGGAGCCAGCCCCACGAAACACAAGCAATAAGTGCGGGGAGGGAGCAAGAACAAGCTCCTCAGCCAGTGATTTGCAGCTCGGACAGATGCAGAGTACGGCATTTGGCTCCCAGATTGTATCTGCGGTCATTGGGAAGAATCACTTCGATGGCATCCAGGAGAATTGGGGTTTTTAAAAAGGGAATTAATTTTAAAAGGATTCAATGACCTTTGCTAACTTCTGAAACTGAAAAAAAAACTCATGTGGATTTTTATATTCAATGTGCATTAGTTGCTCATTCTCTCCGAGGTGATTTGCTGCCTTTTTTTTTTTTTTTTAAAGTTTTATTTGCATAAAGCACAGCCTGCATGAAAAGGCAAACCAGCAGGCTCAGTGTGTGCTCGTACAGGGTTTTGCTGTAATATTTTTGGTGGGTTTAATGTTTGTGGGTTTGTTTTTTTTCGCTATTTGCAATCTCCCATCATTTCCGTTACAGAGAAACAATTTATTTCCAAACGGAGCTGCACACAGTCCTCTCAGACCTGACCCGTTCCCCAGCTTTCCACTGCCGTTAAAGCCAAATCACATTTATATTTAACAGCTTAATTTCCCAAATTGGTTTTATCGGTGGCCCTGCTGCCCTGTGAAGACAGCACGGGAGGGGAGATGAGACCTGAGCGGCGTGCCCGGCTGCATCGCTGACCTGCTGGCTGACACGGCACTGCCTCCCTGTGCCTCTTCTCCTCCAAGCTTCTGCTGATTGAAGATGCTAAAATCCCTCAGAGGAGGATCCACCTCTTGCTGAAGGGCACCCGATGGAACTGCTTTGTGCTCGACAAGACAGGCAACAGCAGGGGAAGCTCAAGGTAGATGGGAGCCAACAAGCAGGATCCCAGCAGAAAATCGTAGAAACCAGCAACGTGAGGGCATCCTGCCTCAGATGTGGCATGCGTCAGTCCCTCGGCATGACAACTCTGCTCTTTTCGTGTGAGGAACCTCAATCCTTTTTTTCCATGACTTGTCTGTGTGCAAAATATCCACATTATTTGTCCTTATTATGTCATGAAGCATCACTAACTGCTCTCTGTTTCCTGTCCTGCAGCTTGCCTTTCCACTAGCCTAGGTCCAGATACATTAAGACTGTGAAATATTTTTTTTAAGTCAGAAAAAAATAAAGGATCATCAAGAAAAATAAACAAATTCAAATAGTGAAAGGGGATGTTCAATTTTTCTTTTCCTGTGACTAAACAGGCCGGGTTGATTTTTTTTTCTTTGCTTTCATTATTGTATAGAAATCTCACTTCTTTCTTGAAGGGGTCAAAATAGGAATCCATTCTGAGATTGAATTCAAGCAGGGAAGCGTAAAACAGTGGGGAAGATGTTCCTTGGTGAAGTAGCAATCACGATATGACATTACGTGGGGTCCTGTGTGTAGGTACAGAGATGGACCCAGATTTGAACCAGCTGGTGGCACACAGAAACCACCTGGAGCCACACAGATAAATAAATACATGTCTGTGCTTGAGAGGGACACACCCCATCACACCTATTCAGAGAAGTGCTAATGAGGTCTCAATCTCCAGGTTCTGCTTGGATGTCAATCTTGCATTGACATCTTGCATTCCCACAAAAGGGAAATATTTTAATTCCATCTGTGCCAGGGTTCTGTCAGTTTTCAGACATCTCTATTTCTCCCTCTCACAAACCCTCTTAAAATTTGTCCCCTGGGAACGCTGCTCAACCGCAAAGTGCCAACCAGGAACCAGAAAAGAAAAAACTGACTGAAAAACACGCAGACCTTCAAAGGCAGCACAGCATTACACTGCTGGAAAGGAAATTATGGCACTGAAAGAAGAAAAAAAAAAAAACACCTGTGGCTTATCTGCACAGAAGAAACCACGGGTTTCATTCTGCCAGTCTTTGCTCACCCCGATCAGCAGCTAATTGCAGAGGTGCTGACGATCTCGGCGGTGCTACACGGTGAGCTCTCAAAGATCAATAGCTGTCCCCGGCCTATCGAGCCAGCTGTGCCACTGCACACGGCAGAATTACCGCTGCCCTTACTCTGCTCTGCAGCTGTAGTTCCTGAGCTCTTAGGGCCCCTCTGGGAACAGAGGTGGGAGCAAAGGCTTCTGCCTGCGGGATGAGGAGAAAATGGGATGGAAGCAAAGGCCAGAGGCGAACTGTGGGGACCTTGCCTGCGTATAAGGAGCCAGGCAGCGTGGTCCTACAATATGATGTGCTGTCTGGACAGCTGCAAGCCCTGAGCACCTGGAAAATGAAGGGATAGGAGGGGACAGATTGGGGCAGCAGAGATAGAGGGAGGCTGGAGTGTTTGGCAAAAGCCAGAATGGACAGAAACGGCGAATGAAACGTTGGCATGGCCACAATAAGGCTACCACAGCTTGTACATGTCATACAATGAATGGCAGGGCTGTCTGAAGGAGGGATCTGGGACATGGCATTGCTTTTACCGTTTTCATATTGGAGGGGATTGGGCAAAACCACCAGGGTTCACTTTTCCTTAAGAAAAAAAGAAAGCCCCAAATGCCACATTTTGCCAAAGCTGGAATTGCACCAGATGTCATCCACCTAAGGAAACGTAACAAGTAATGATTCCTTTCTGGTGAAATGATCTGGGGGCAGGGTCACCTGCCTACTCCAGAAATAGAAGCAGAAAGCAAAGGGGAGTAAAGAAGAATCTGTTTTGTTTAAAAAGGAGAAAGGACACTTTGACACAATCTCTTTTCTCAAAGGCATTCAAAAGTTTTGTCTCCATCCCAGAGACGTTCCAAAGCTGCACAGTTTGTCCTTCACTCTGCCCCATCTGCAGCTTTAATAGCATTTTTAATGCGTTCTTTACATAATTAATATTTACATTTCAGTAGCAGCTAGCAGCTCCAACAGACACACAAGGCCCTATAGTATTAGGGTGAAAAGGATCTGCTCCTCTCTTGTCAGACAAAAAGACAAAGCCTGGGAGGAGGGGGACACAAACAGGTTACAGAAAGGATTTGCACGCAGCGGTTCATCAGCTCAGAGCCAAACCTGTGAACAAAGCAGTTTTCCCTGACTCGAGTGGAGAGCTTTAGGGACTCCAAATCCAGTTGCCCAAGATCAAAGCTTTCCCCAAGGTCAAAGTTTTTCCCAAGTCCACTCAGGTTTCCCCAGCCTCTGTCAAGCCCAGCCTTATTTACACAGATTGGGAAGGTGGGCACAGTTCAGGTTTCAGCCATGACGTGGTTTTAGGCAGGTCACTGAACTTTTCCTTGCCCTCCCAGCTAGGAATTACAAAAATGGACAATTATGGGAATCTTGGGACCCCAAAGCCTATTGGTGACTGTCATGGGTGAAAACACGAGACAAACAGACAGCCACAGAGGGAATTTCAACTACAAAGATCCACGGTGCCACGGTTAGAAAAGCATTTTCTAGGTGGATGTGTGGATGCAGACGTGGATATGGAACTTCTTTCCCAACAGCACTTTTAACGGTGGATTTTTTTATGTGATTAATACACAGTTGACCACACAGCACCTTTATGCTTCTGGTAGTCTCTGCCCTTGGTGAGGTCTTCTAAAAAGGTGCCACCTCTGTCCATGTTGACTGCCGCCGAAGCCCTGTATGGCAGGGGGATGAATGTGGAAAGGCTGAAGGACTGTGCCTGTGCATTTTTTGTCAGGCAAGAGATGGTTGAGGGCCAAGCCTGGGTGATTGATAGAGCAGGGTGAAGGCTGTGTGCTTAATGGAAACGTTGAACCAAACATTACTTCTGCCAAGAGAAGTAATTGGCTGGTTCAATGGCAACGAAAATTTTAAGACATTGTGAATCGATACCTTACTAATTGTTCAATTAATTGCTGTCTGTCATCATTTTCCAAAGTATTTTCTGGAGTTTGTATGTTACAAAGGTTATCTAGCTGCCTTACTAGAAGCTAGATAAGAACTTTCAGCCCACTTTTCTGCATTTCCAATTTCACAAATGAGGAAGCAAGCCTACCTTTGCATAATTGTACTGTCTCAGACTCCAAGGGACGTTTGCTTTCCACAGGGTTCGAGTTTCATCTGATGACCTAAAAGAAGAGGTGAGAAGTAAAATACAAAGGCCTGACCTCTGCAGGTGAAAAGGAAAAGCCACAGTGCCTTTGTGAATAGCGTGGAGGGCAAACGAATCCCAAGCAACACAGGTCACAGGCAGGGCCACAAGGAATGGGGAACTGTGACCTTCATGGGAACGTCCCACCCCGTCATCAGAAGGGAAGCACAGACCAGTGCTCAACTTCATTATGCCCTAGTCAAGGTCAGATAATGGAGGGTTTTGATTAATGCATAAAAAACGCAATCAAATTAGCTGAGTAGGCACCCGGCGCTGATGTTCGTTGAAGGAGCTGCCATGCTCATTAGGTGGAAGCAAGGCACCCAGAAGGTGAAAGCTAATTTTGACAACGTTGCTAAGACTCAGGGTGGCAAAGCACAGCCTGGCACAGCAAAGAGGGGAAGAGAGAGAGAGCTGCCTCGGCACCCGAGCACTTCTCAGGTCTCTGTCACCACAAATTTCAGCAGGCTGCATTCGACAGTGGCAATTATCCCACGGCAGCCTTTACGAAAGGGTTGTGTCCTTGCCAGGTGCAGACCTCAGCGCCTGGCAGTCAGTCCTTTGCTCCCAGGATGCTGAGGCTATGACTGAGACAAGATTAGTCCCAGCACCTGTCCAAAGCCCTGGGCTGAATGAACCAAACACAATTTGAGAAAATATGATTTGAGATGGTTGCAGAACCAAGGGAGGCTCCTACTCCTATTGTGCTTGACTTTAAACATAAAAGGAAGCAGGGCACCAGCAGAGCACCTCAGGGTTTAGTTTGACTCCAAGTTATACTTGGGTAAAGCTGTAATTAGGGACAGATCAGGCTAAGAAATTACTCAAAACTGTTTTAAGTAGTAAACTCAGACAGATAGGTGGGAAATAATATTTCTCAGCATTTCCATTAAGCTTTCAACAGCAGACACCAGGCTCCAAATAATAAACTGCAAGGACCCAACAGATATGGTAAGGTTTTTACTGGAATAAAGGCAAGAAAATTGCTGAACTAACTCTGACCTTTGCAAAATAATAAAGCCACAGAGCCATAGAACAAAGATCATAGCAGTAACATTTAACTACCACTGGGAGCAGTTCCCCTTGTTGTGTTTCATGATTAAGACGTACTAGGATAATATGGACCAAGAGGCTTTGCCAACCAGGCTCTCCATACAGAGCAGGGTCAACTATGTCTGAACGTACTGGAGAACATTAGGTTTTCAGCAAGTGCCTGACATATTTTGAACCAGACATACCCATGTTTGAATACTTCACTCAAGAGTGCCAGGCACTCCAATGTTTTGGTTTTAATATGCTTCCTGAAGTCTCGACACCTGAAAAGAAATGGGGTGATTGGACGTGTACCCTGTCCAGAAAGAGCCAGGCACTGGAGAGAAGTGTGCAGGGGTTCCTTACATTAACCATATTTATCTGGTATATCTGGTGGCATTTTATTCATAATGACATCATGTCAGCTCTGACCTGATACAGTCGAATCACGCTGTTTGAAAAGATGCAGACTGTGCCAGAAAGTCATTTCAAAAGGCAATTTTGAAAAGCCACCACAATGCTTCCCCTTCCCACTGACCGTCAGCCTGCAGCGGAGACCACCTGCAGCTGCAAAAACTTCTCAGCAGCTCCATTTATAGGTTTAGTTTGTGGAGCATCTCCCCAGCCCTGCTGCTGGGTGAGATGTTTCCCCAAGCTCACTGCATAGGGATGAATGTGCCACAGCCCACGGCTTAAACACCAATAGAAATTTGGCTGTGGCAATGTTTACTTGAGGCCAAAACCTGCTTTTGTCCTTACTAAACCCCCCTGCATTGAGCTCATACTGTTTTCACTGTGTCTATTTTAACAGCAAGCAAACAAGTGTGGCTGCTTAAATAGAAAAAGCATCCCTGCTCATTTTTATGTTTGCAGTGGCCAACGATGCAATATTTCCTACAACAGCTTCCCTACACCCCTTCATACACCTTCCTGCTGCACCTCCGCGTGCACCTTGCTGCCAGAGGGGGATTATTTTCATTTTGCTATTAAAATGCCTACACGCCCAAAGTCTTTCCTGATTCATTCAGTCCTCCCAAGATTGCTTTGCTTAAATTGGAAACACTGGAAACACTCGTGTGAGTGTCAGCATGCATATATTTATTTCAGATAAATATATATACATGCATATACGTATCTCAGAAAATAGGCAGTATTGAGAGGAAAGAGATTACAATTTTATGGGGGAAAATCAGAGTTCTTCCTACCCTTTGTTCACCATAGCAACTCTCTCACACGCACACAGAGAGGCAGAAGGAAGAGAAAAAAGAAAAGCTCCTACCTCATTTCCAATCAGGCCTTCTCCAACAACAAGAGAAGAGCTTTTATCTTCCAGACAGGGATAAAAGACCATTCTAACAGTTCATTTCATAAGCATGCACGGACTTTTCAAGCAAGCACATGTTATCATTCCCTTGCCTGGGAATTTAGCACAGGCTGTGAGGGAATGCCTGCCCAGCACAAACATTGCTGTGTCTCCCAAGGGCTGTCCTGCTAACACAGGGAACCTAACGGCTCCCAAATTTCTCACCGTGATGCTCCATGTGCATGCACACACGAGCGGACATGCATGCTACAAACAAATTCACACTTCATTTTTCCAGCAAAAGAGAGAGAGAAGAGGAAAGGTGATAACTTTGTATTTTACACGCTGAAAGGTGTGCTCACATTCAGAGCCCACGTGGTATATGGAAGTCAAATATATATATATATAAAATCCTTCCTGAAGAGCCCACCGCCTGAGGATATGAGCAATGCCTACTGAGGTCACAGCAAAGAAATCCGCTGGCATCAGCGAGCTCCAATTAAGCAAAAATATCCACAGTTTACAAACAGGTCACTGAAACACAGGAAGGTTAAAGGACCTGTTCATGGACACGCAGAAAGTGGCTCGTGGAGAGGCTTGAACATAAATCTCCCAAGTTCCCCTTGACGTCTTAAACGCGACCTACGTGCCCTCAGCTGGGAACCGACATTGCCCTGTCTGCTGCTTGCCTTTGTGTTGCTTTTTCCTTTTTTTTTTTTTTTCTAGAGAGAGCAGCCCCACTCTGTGAAATCTGCTGCTAGCATTACAGAAGAAAATAATGTATTGTTCACCCTCAACCGAGGCCTGTTTTTTCACAACAGCTACACCTATTTTGAGCACCTGCTGCAAAGTTTAGCTCAGCTGTAACCGAGCTCATCACAAAAGTGCTGTAGAAGGGACCTGATTTGCTAGTTTTTCCCAATCATTCTGTTTAGAGGAGACTCCACTGACTTTTGGGATAACGACAAAGTCATCAGAAAAGTCATTAGGAAAAGGCACACCTTAGTGGGCTTCTTGGCCAAGAAAGATGAGCGTGGTTGGCTTTCCCCTGCGCGTCACCATCCAGCCCGTTGTCACTCTGAGCTCCCTGTGGTCCAGAGAGGAGGATGCGGAGGAGGCAAGGTGATGCTGAGCAGATCTTGTCAGTGAAACACCTGCACTGTGCTGTGGGAAAGGGGAAGGAACAGGGTTAACTCAACTGAAGGAAGATGAACAGCACTGGCAGCTCACTCCTTACCAGTGCACTTCCTTCGCCAGAGTCAGCCCCACCAAAATCTTCTCTGTTTTATTTCGCTTATTGCAGGCATCATTTGGCTGCCGGCCCACCTTTTCTTTCTCTCTCACGCAATAAACGTGCCAGTCTTACAGCCCGGAGAATATTGCCCGTCCTGCTGCTGTCCTAGCGCTCGGGAGGGCCCGTTCATTTGCAGAAGAATGATTGATGAGCACAGAAACCCATTTTCCTTGGGTTTCAAGGTCAGGAGACAAGTCTAGCTGGCATGCAAATAGCCCAAGCTGAAAAAGGACCGTTTCTTTTTTGACGCACATGCTAAACGTTGCAAATAAATCATACATCCAGGTTTTATTCTTTCCGATTATAATATTCGCAGCAAGGCTAAGAACCCCCGTGGCCTTAAATACTGTTATTTAACGGGTTACTTAGCACTGCACTCTATGCAGCTCCAGCATCGGGACCACCAGTGCTCAAACTACACGTGTAAAAGGACCTCAGGCACGTCTACCCACTGGGGTACAGATATGTCTTCAAGGAGGGAATCAGCTGATGTCCCTCCCCGCTTTCTGGATACTGATTTTTCTTACCTTCCCCTCACAGAAGAACACTTAGGGTTTTTTCTTCCCCATCTTGGATGGAACAGCAAATTAAATAGCTCCAGATCTTTTCGTCTCTGCTGAGAAAATGAAGAGAACTGGTAAATAACAGCACACTGCCACTGTCCCAGGAGCCGCGATGTATTCAATGTGCTCCCACGTGGCACTTCTTTATACATTGCCATTCACGCTCTGGCTTGTAGAACATGGTGATTGAGTGTTTCCTTTGAGTAAATGTGTGTGTACCTTCTTCACTGAGGCATACGTGGATGCACAAGGTCTCCTGGAGGACGTAAATTCATTTTCCTGTCTTTTTAGCAAAGTGGCTGATTTTGGTGTCATTAGCTGATCCACGCTGGAACTTCCTTGAGCCATTCGTTGAGGTAAATGTCTAAGCAGGTGAAACTAATGTTTCTCTTTCCCAGCCAGGACGAACCAGTTCATTTACTCAAGCCAGACATACTAAGAGCAGAATTCTACTTACTTTATAGCCAAGAATTTTAAAAAGAGGTGGCCAAGGGGCACTCAGCAAAATCAGCATTGATTTTTCAGCACTGCCTGGAATACAGCCAGGTCTCATGGGGCCAGAGTGAAATGAGTACAGGACCCAGTCTTAAAATGGTTAAGTGGAATGGCACGCACACAGGCCTGTCAGCCAAAATCAGTTCGGGCAGGTGAGAGGAAATGGGTTAGTAAGGAATGAAAGGATGGGATAATTAACCTCACTTAACACGGGTTTATGGGGGCAAAAGACCCTGTCAAGTTAACGTAATACTGATTTTGGAAAAGTCCTAAGGCCGCTGACACCAAGATTGCCTCCTACTTACACTTTTGTACTTGGGACCACAAGGCACTTTAATCACTGAAGTCTGGAAGCAGCAGGGCACAGTGAGCAGATTTAGAAAGAATTAATTGATGAGCCGTGATTTTGGGGGAATCCTTGGGGATTGGGAGATGCTCCTATGCTCACTTGCAATTCTCAGATACCCTGAAGATGAGAGCAAAGACACAATGAGAAACTCCCTCCTGCTTTTGGTGCGATGAGTTCCTGGCCCCCACCTGTACGAAGCACATGCTCCGGCAGCAGTTTCAGCTCCACGGACGCTGGGTGCCACATCCACAAGCCCAACGTTGCTCAGCACCTTCCCAGCGAGTGACTGGCCTTTGCTGCTGCCTATTTGTTTTGCCCAGCCGCCTTCAATAAATGGTGACACGGGGTCCTTAAATGCCCTAAAAGTTCGGCTTCTGAACAAATTAAACCGGGCTCGTTTGCTGTTGTCGCATCCGTGAAAAATGCTACTTTTTTTTGCTGCAAACAGCTGGAACAAGTTCAATTGAATTTATATCAGGACTGGGTTTGTTTCTGAGCTGGTGACTCATGTTCTTGTCTATTTCTGATTAAATATTATCCCTATAAATGGCATACACATTTTTTCCTATTTAATTGTCATGGCTGAGGGGATTTAATCTATGCACCAATTCAATAAAATGTTATCATCGACTAGCCACACGAAATGCAATCGGACTGCCACTGCACGCATGGCCATGAGGCTCAGACGTGCTCTCCTGACTTCAGGGGAAGGCCTCCGAGACAGGGGTTATGCCACTCAGAGAGACACGAGCAGCTAAAAGCTCAAAGTGATGCTGCAGTCAGAGCCAGACGTCTGACACAAAAACAAAAGCCACGAGCAGCGAAGGAGTGGTCCCGGCACGCTGTGATATTTAATTGATGCGAGTTTGATGTTCAGAAAATCAGGGGGCAATTCCCACGGATGTGTGTTCAGCAGTGGAAGAAGAGCAGCTGGGGTGCTGGTGGCATTATCCCCAGACTTCTGAAGGCAACTGAAGTTGTTTTCATGTGCGTCTCTGGGATTCGCCTCGTGTCAAGAGCTGCAGGTGCTGAGGTGCTCAGGGCTGGAGGTTTTGGCTGTTTAATTCCCGTTGGTGAAGCTAGGCATCCACAAGAGCTCAGCTCCACCTAACGCAGTTCTAACAGCCATTGTTTCAAGCGCCTTTATATCAAAATGCAGCACGCTAAGGGCTGACCAAGACTTGGTGGCAATGAGTCTGGGACACATCAGCATTATCTGCGACTTGCATTGCACAGGAGTTGCCCACAGCCCACAGAAAAACCTCCCAGCACTTACTCCTAGTGTTTGTGGAAGCTGCTGGAAGAAGGCAGCCCCTTGCCTCTGCATAAAACCAAGTGGCAGCGCATTCCTCCCCAAACCGCCTTGTCTCCAAATGAGATCAGATTGTTCAGGCTCTCGCATGGTGTGGCCTGGATTTTGCAACTGCAATGCATCAGGAGATAATCGCGAGTTAATACAGAGCAATGGTAATGAACAATAAAGAACGCTTTATATAGTTTTATAATCATCATACGGCACCATTATTCCCAAATGCACCCATAAATCTGTCAAAGGAAGCAGCTCTACAGCAGAGACACTTTAATATGTATTTAAAAAACGGGATAAAAGTCGTATCAATCCTTGGCAGACCTAATTTAGCATCACACAACATTTATCATAATCCCAGCAGCGTTAAACTAGATGCCCACTGCACCACAAGCTGCTTTATTGCAGGCCAAAGACAACCGGCACGCTGCATGGACGGGGGCTTGTGAAGGGAAATAGGGCACCCAACGCCTCCCTCTGGGCCATAAACCCCACTGAAGAAAGCCAAGAGAGGTCCAGATGCCGCAGGGATTTCCAAGGGTGTCTGCACAAAGCCATTTGAACAAATTAAGGGGAAGCCTGGACGTGGCCCCGGTGGCGAAGGAAGGTTGTACACGAAGAATTTGGCTGCCACCTGGCAAAGTGCTGGCGATCCAGCGGCGATCACACACACTTGGGGGAAGTTGGATCCCAGATGCTTTTCCCAGCCAAGGCTTTCATAAAAGAGTAAGTGCAGCGCTCGCTGTCGGAGACATCGTCGAGCTGAGAGCTCGGGTTTCCCAAATTAGGCTGTGGAGAGGTGGTTGAAAATTTCCTTACAAGCTCTTACTTGAGGAAAAATCAGCCTCGCAGCTAATCAGAGGCTCGCATGCACACACACACGGGTCTGTTTGCAGCGAAAAGCTCTGATTTCTCAGCTCAGAAGCAGCAAAAATAAAAAAGCTTCATGGAAAACACATCCCCAGCAGGAAAACAGAGCCCTCGAGTCCTACTTCCACTGAGCCCCGAGGAGGCGTTTGGGGACTGGGATTTTGGCCTTTTGCCTGCCTTGGGATCCCGTGCGTTTCCCACAGCCTGCACCATCACCCACCTGGGACGTGTTGAGTCATTTCTCCCACTCCTCGGGCCATATACCGAAGGCTTGCACAGCATATACAGTGTGCAGGAACACAAGGCGCCACATCACGTTTGCAAACAGGGTGATTTTCACCCCTCTTGGCCATCATAACAATCACAGCTATTCCTCCACTCCTCCAGGCTCCCAACCCACAGAAACCCTTATTCTGACTTTCCAGATCAATCCTTATTTATTTATTTATTTATTAGGCTTATTTGCAAACACTGCTGTCTACTGCTTAAACATCCAAGGTGCTTCTCGCTAAATATTTTTGCTCCTCTGTTTGTGACCGGAGTTGGAAACCTGGGGTTATTTTAAGCATTTCTCCAAGAGCCATGCGCGTTCAGCAGGCTGAGCAACCTTCAGAAGAGTGACGGAAGTGGAGAACTGGAAGGAACCGAGCCTGGCTTTAAAAATGGAAACCAAAAAAACTGCTAGCACTGCTGCGGGCGATCCAAAAGGCATGCCTGAGCTGCTTCTAATCATATCAGCCCTGCTCCCCAGTGGGAGGCGAGGGAGGAAGCGTGACACAAAACTGACAAACATACCTTTTATTTCACATCAGCCAGACTACCATGCTGAGAGACGTGATTCCAGCTTTTCTTAGGAAAGCTCGTTCCGGCCTATTGGGAGCATCATTTCTGCAACCCATCAGTGTGATCCCAATTAGAGAGAGCAGCTGAAGCCGGCAACGAGCCCCTCGCCAAGGCCGGATCCTGCACCGCAGCCTGCAAACACATTTTGTGATGCCGTCACCATCTCTGCTGGCAATGCGTTACCCAAACCTGCCCGCTGGCCCAAATCCAGCTTGAGCAAGCCCACGTGTTGCACAAGGGTGTCTGCAGCTACCCCACCACCGGCAGCTGGGAAAGACTCTTTCCAGGAAGGGTCACCTCACTGCAACTCGTCATCCCTGCGTGCATTAACAGCCTCACCTTTACAAGACAAAAGGGCACTTCGTCAAGACGGACTAAGTTAGCTGCTTGATCGTTTAATTACCCTTGCTTAATTATTACGGCTTGGATCGCAGAGCTATTGATTTTTCCCAATGGCTCTTGAGACCTTTCACTGGGCTCTAGCTCAAAGTGAACTAACAAGTGTTGGGGAATGAAGTGTGCGAGATAAATGATTTAAAGCAGTGTATCATCCACGGGCTACATTAAAAGACAATGCTGTTAAAAGAAGAATAGGAGCTGTGGAAACATCAGTGGAGCAGATATGCTGTCGACCTTTGATTTTCCTACAAGAAAATATTACAGATTTCTTTAATGGCCCAGCAACCAGACATCAGAATCTCAGCTAGTGTTTTAACAAAATGGTTCTTAGGGTTCTGGAACAAAATGTGAAAACAAACATCACCAAAATTCAAACGCAAGTGCAAAATAAAATAAGGTCCAAAGATAGAGAACCATTATTTTGAAAAAGAAACCAAGGCTGTTAGGACAAACCTGTCATTTTTCAGTCTCCTTCCGAGCATTTGAGGTCTGCACTGCAAGTACATTACTACGAAGGCAACCCAGTGCCTCCCGAGTTCATCAGTTGGTCCAGAAGCTGAAGTCCAAACAAATGTAGCAGAATGGACAGGAAGGGGCAAGATCTTGAGGACACAGCAATGAAAATTCTATAAATCCCTTCCCTGTGGTATTTTGTAAAGACTGTTACTACTCTTAAAAATAACTTTGTCACCAAAGGACTCAGCAATGGAATTATGGCATGCCAACCTAAATTACAGCCTGTCAACAAAAGCAAAAGCCCTAAGACAAGAAAAGACATTGTAGCAGCCTACGGCAGTGGGATGTAGCCAAGATGGTTTCACATGGGGAAGTAGGTGGTGCACTGCACCCTTTGAGTCAAAATCAATGGGCCTCAGTTTAGTGATCTGCCCAGAAAGAACATAAATGATAAGGTGTAACAGCACTGGGGTTTCTAATGAATGCTGCTAGCGTCACGGCAGGACTTAGGCACACTCAGTCCAGCCGAGCTTTGCAGCCCTTGGGGAGGACACAAGGGGAAAAGGATTGTGCAGTGCCACAGGACAAGCCTTATATACTCTTTGCTCGCTGAGATACGCAATTATATAAAAATACGGACTCGCAGCAGAGAGCTAGTTTGCTTTTACATTGCCAGTGCTCATAATGGCAAAGTCATATTTGAAAATGTTCCATGAATGACACCTGGGAGTTTAGAAATAGGGAAAAATGTTAAAAAGAAAAAAAAAAAAGAAAAAAAAAAGAGAGAGATCTGGGTTTGGTGGTTGCAGGGTTTTTCTGTACTTTCTCAGCTACTCATTCTGAGAGAAAAATCCTCTTAACAGCATGGAGCTGGGACAGGGGAGGGTCAGGCTGGGTGTTAGGAAAAGGTTCTTCACCCAGAGGGTGGTCAGGCACTGTGACAGGCTCTCCAGGGCAGTGGTCACGGCACTGAGTGTGTCAGAGCTCAAGAAGCATTTGGACAATGCTCTCAGACACGTGGTTTGGTTTTGGGTGGCCCTGTGTGGATTCAGGAGCTGGACTCAATGATCCTGGTGGGTCCCTTCCAACTCAGGACATTCCCTGGTTCTATGATTCAAGACTTTTTTTGCACGATGTGAAAACTCACCGAAAATTGGAGCCTGCTCCCTTCAGCACGACTCTGTGTTCAGATGCAAAAGTGAGCAACCTCCTGGCTCTTCGGATCTGCAAACCCCTGCTCTTCCTGCTGGAAATAAGGCATCCTGGGCGTTTGGGATAATCGTACTGATACACGCATTTCTGTCAAGTACTAACTGTGGGGGTATTATTGAAATCCATCTTTTGAAAAAAACTATCAAGTGTATAATTATTTATCCTGTGCTTTGGGGAAATTAAAAAAACCTACAAAGCTTTTTGAGACGTACATGCTTTTTCTTCCAAAAATTTTACTTAACCATGCTTTTATATTTGCTGCAGCACATTCTGTGGAATTACTCTGAATTAAATAGCTTGATCGTGGTAAAGTGATAAAAATGGTATCACAGAGCTGTAAATAACACTAAGAGATAAGGAAAAATATAGCGGGTTTCTTCCTCAATTACAGAAACTATTCCAATTTTTAAAAAGCAAAATGTTACGAATTTTTCTTTCTATGGGAACCAAAAACTCCAAACCCTGTGCTTTAAAGGATGTATTTTTCCATACACATTTGAGTGCAGAGTGACTGCAAAGTGCTCCTAACATATTCAGCCACCAGGCAGCACCTTCCTGACATCCTTGCTTCAGGCAGCGAGACGTGAAGTTGTAAACCAAACAGCTCCTCCACTTGGCTTCCAGTCTGTGTTTCTGAGCAGCTAGGCATCTTCTGTCATTACAGGTGGGAAATGATTGCATCCATGCTAATTAGAACCAATTTATTATTATTATTATCAATTGCTATAATCAACACAAATTGGAAGCTTTCCTTCCTGCCACTCAGCCCCACCTTTTCCACCAAAACTGGCAAGGCGCGCTACCTCTCCCAGGAACACGGCTCCAAAAGTAACCTCCTGCCTCCTTTGGCTCGTCTTACTGTCCACCTGCTCGTGGCCAGGTAGCAGCTATTCCGTGCCAAAGCCAAGCATGGCTGAAAGCATTGTTGGTTTAGGTCCCTCCAGATCTAACACATTGAAACGATCCGTATATAATCAATATAAAAGACTCAGAGACACACAAAGAGCTATGCATTTGTTTTCATCTCGGTGATATGAAAAGGAAGCTCGTGATGTGTAGGAAATAACCGAGTAAATTACAGCCAGGAAGAATAAAGGTGGCTTGACTCCAAGATTTAGTTGTATTTGGAGTGTGCAGGATGGACTGCAAAAGGCAGCTCAGGAGAACCTGGACAGATGCACGCGTACATACAGATGTGAGGGTCTGGCCATGTTTATGCTTGTGTTTATTTGCAATAGAGGTAAAAGAATGCACTCCAGTCCATGGAACTGGAATAGATTTGCACGAATTAGAAGAAAAGCTTCCAAACTATGGACTAGAACCATGAACGGGTCTCCGTATACTGCAAAGCAGCCAGCAAACAGATAAGGAGGGTTTGCTACAAGAATGAAAGACTTCAAAGCACGAACAGAAAGGTGAAGTAATACAGATTTTTTGTCTATAACACATATTCTCTATTTCTGTATTTGTTTATAAACAAAAGTAAAAAGCTCGTGGTCAGTTTACTCAACATAACTAACAGAGTTACACAGAGAGAGCAGAAATGAGTGCCCAACTTCATTAGGGCTCTTCTGTGCAGTGAATCCTAAGAAGCTAAACCCTAACACACTCCTAATTACTCTGTTGTTTGAAGAAGACAAATGAAAGGACAGAGGCGACAATATTTGAGGCATGCAAAACTCCACTAGCACCCTTCCCCATCAGCTCATAAAAAACCTTTCCTTTGCTGAGACTTCAGACACGACAGCCGCGAAACACCTGAGAACCTCCCTAAATACGGACTCTCTTCTCCACACCGAAAGCTTATCTACATCAAAAGCAAAGGCTCCCAGACAGAGACGTAAGGAAATCCAGCTAGATTTTTTAAAATTGATCTTTTGGCACCTTGTAGTCCCTGCTCGGGTTTCATTCATCCCTCATTTTTTGACTTGGCCAGATAACGCGTCTCATGCTCGCGCTCTGGCAGAGCGAGGGCCGTGCCTGAAAGCGGAGCACCAGCGGTGCAGGTGGCCTTTGTAGGTAGAGGTGGCTGTGTCTGGAATGCTAATTTCCTCTTTACAGCCTGCGACCGAATGCCAGAACAGACCTGTTTTCTTTTCTCTTTGGGCAGAGGGAAAACCACACATGCTCTTGCTGGAAGGAGGCCAAGCGGCGCCAGGTAACTGGCAGCGAAGGCAACTGGAGCTAGCACGCAGGAGACAACTTTCATGCTCTTTCGGAGCGAGCAAGGATTATGCCAAGCCCTAATGTTCCGTACGAAGGAAATGAAATCACTCAACATATTTTACAGCTCAGGGAAAAACGTTGCTTCATTTTTCCTCAAATGAGGTATTTAGCTCTGTTAGCAGGACGTTATTAGATTTATTATCATGTCAAGTCCAGGAGAGCTACCAGTTTAACTCTTAACGCAGCCAGAGCGCGATTCGGAGGGAAGAGGAGAGAGAGCACACAATTGAAGCGGGCAGAAATTTTGTTAAAATATGTTAACAGCTCTGACTGAGCTGAGCCGGTAAGGCACATTAGGAGAATGCAATTATCTCCGTGGTTTGGAGGGAGATACAAGACTAGAAAGTATCATCCCAGTTAGAGACCTGCGTATCATTTTGCATAGCAAGGTTAATATCCAGGGAACAGAACGATGCTACAGCTCCCACCTCAAAGCAAGCGAAACTGTTTGGGCCCCGTATTTGGAGATTTGGAGATGCACACTGTTTTCAAAAATTGCTTGGGCTCTGAGTTTAATGTGATTTAAATCCCTAAAGTGCAGTGTGTCTCCTTAGCTGCGCTGTGTTTTAAATGCTGCAGGTCCCAAGCCCAACACCTCTAACTCTCGCTGAGCAGTACCTCGCTCCACCATCTCCACAAATTTCACTGTTATCATTTGTGGAGTAACACATAATATCCAGAAGCACATTCTGCTCACCGTCACAGCTTGCCACCGCATCCATCTCAAGAGCCAGGGAGGAGGAAACAAAGAGTTTCCAATAATACCTCGCTGGTTTGCACATTTTTAAGCAGTGTCCCACGGCACCCTTTTAGTATACCTTACAGCATCGGTGAGTGCT